CTTGGCCAAGGGATTTCGCAGATAAGGCAATGATTGCCGTCCGCCGAAACTAGACACGCCAGCTTTGGAGTCCCAAGCGGCTCTCTTGCGCACCCTGCCTTCACGTATCAGACAGCTTGACTATGACAGAAATTAACATTCAGAAACATCTGAAACGTTAAACGGAGAAGAAATTAACGAACAAATGGTCAGAGTTCAGAAACGGTTACTGGTGCAGCAGCCAGTTATCTTTGCTACGCTATAAAACTTCGTTCTGTGCAGCTATTTTAAGCCACAAAGTTCAATTCATGTGCCGCTACAATCACCTCCACAGGGTACAGATATCATCAGCACCGAAGAAATTGCACAAAATTACAGATTCACTATCTAATTCGTTAAAAGTAATAAACTGTAAGACAAGGTAACATTTTTTTCATTGTTGCTAATGGACAATACGATGGAGCACTTTAAGAAAACCACAAACCAACAAGAAAAAAACCGAAGGCTCAGTTCAAGAATTCCGCCGTAGAGCTGACGGATCTTGGCAAGTGAAAAACATTATTGCTAAGAGACTGCATAATCGCAATTGACAGGGTCAGTTCAATTCACTGCAGGAAGCGTAGAATTTGATTTCAACCGAGTGAAACGAAAATGATGAGAAAGCGAAAACGTACAGCGAAAACAAGTCTTTCATTCGTTTAAAATCAATTGGCAAAAATTTCTGGTTCACACGCTTTCGACGCGTAACAATGATGGTCTTTACCACAGAACCCTACATAGGAATTACTGTAGCAACTGCAGCATTTGAAATCCTCAACAAAATGCAATATCAGCTACACATTAAACACAAAAATATCTATATCTCTAAGCGTTCCATTATCTTTGCTTTTCAATATTTTCTTGAGACAATGGCTCTACTCAAAATTCATACACTTCATCTAGGTTTTCCATTCTTTTAGCACGACTATCGGTTTCGGTTGAACATCAAGCTCCAAGTGGCAAGATCGTTGATTTTTATCCCGTTCGTTTCAGCATCCCACGGCAGATTACTGATAACCACTTAGTGGGTAGGAAACAAGAAACTACATGCTGTAGTGGCCAACTGTACATACAATGCTGAAACAAAGCAGCAACGCGCTACTGGACGTTGACACAGTAACAGATATCAACAGTGAATAAGCATCATGAAAGAAGAGTTATACATGGCACCCAATCGTAGACACGTAAGGGTGACGGAAATCTAAATCGTACTAATTTTCTTTTCTTCTCTTTCGACAAATTCAAAAGTTATAAGAAAACTGAAATTTAAAAAATAAATCCTTACATAATTCCGATCAAAAATAGTAAACATTTATTTTGAACAACACCACCTCTACAAATCTCATAATCTACGAACGATAGATTTACAGAGCGACAAGCATTTCAGCTGAGCAGGTAACCGTAATCAAACAATGATTTGCAAGTCAAGTCAAAATTCAAAAACAAATTGTGTTCACTGATGCGGATTCAAGTTGGATACGGCTGATGCGGTCAATTACTATCTTTTATAAGAAAACGCCCAGTCGACAGTACAACTGCTGTCGCGAACAAAGGAACATACAGGATGTTTCATGACAGCATAACTAATATCCGTGAATAACTCAAAAAACAATTAGATGGCTCAGAAATTTCGCTCAACTTAAATCATCTTCATTCATCCCCTATTGCTGAGAGCGAATTGAAACGACCGAATGACTCTAGGCACAAATGACTACTAATATTTAATGTCGAGATCATTATTTCATTAACAGCTACTGAAAGAAATTGAAATGATTCATAAGAAAACGGTTCGTGGGCTGTATTGAATAGGAAATTTCTGATATGGCAGCATTTCAGCGAGAACAAAAAATACTACGTTACGCAAAAACCTGTCGACTATATAATCAAGGTGTTGCATGCACTGATGTCATGCGTGATGAATTATTTAAAATTCGCCTTGACCGACCTGATAGATTTTGTTTCAATATCGCAGTCAGCAGAATGTGCAACCTCCGTTGTTGTTGAAAGAGATTTTGCTTAAATTAAAATATATCGATCGTGATTATTTCATTGAATTGGGAGGGATCTGTTTGAAATAGCAGAAAAATTAAGGTTCTAAAACGTCAAGGAAAATTTTCAACTTTAGTTGATCGCATGATGGAAATTTCCTCGACGTCACTGCGGTGAACGCAAACAACACAGAGTTTGGGGAAACTGAAAAAGATATTCAGTCTTCGCAATCTATCACTCAACCTATTTTTTGCACAGCTTTGTAATAGGCATTTAAGCAAACTTTCTGGCTCAAATAACGAGAAGTGACATAAGCAACGCTTATTCTTGATTTTAGAAATGCCTGATTTTGATATTTATAGCACATAAAATTACTTCCCTTACAAGCTACCGAGAAAGAATCGTTGAATTGCGGATAATGACTATAGCGCACGGTATTGCGGGGTATCGTCATGCATTACTAACGCAGACGTACGCACTATAGAATTGCTGGAGAGTGTATAGAACATAAATTATGGACTTGATGCTCAATTCGAAAAAAATGATAGCCGCAGATAAATATTAATTAGCAACTAAAACTATTTTTGAACAGGTTTCTTAATGAAAGACACTAACGAAAGATTTTGCCCTGGAACAACAGCAAAGGTTTCCGTTTCTTCAGAAGACCTTCCAGGAAAATTAAAGCTGCAATTTTAGCTTAAGCTTATAAGTATTTTTCTACTGTTTCATTTGATTCTTTCGAAGGTCCAAGAGAGAATCACCGGTTAATGCCACCGTTATTGAATTCAGAAAAAAAATCCAAAACCGTTTTGAATTTGAAGGTGATAAATAACGCTTTCTATAGATATATTATGTAAAACCATTCCTTCAGTCATTCCCTGTAAAATTTGAGGAAGAGATCGACCGGCGGATTGAAATTAGAGTAGCCAGTGGCGTTTTATGTGAATTAGCCCGAACTATTATGATTAAAGCAAAGCTGAGTCTGAAGATTCTGTTTTCGGTGTTCGAGTCGATCTTCCTTCCCATACTTACTTCTGGTCATGAGTCGTGGACAATGGTTCCAGAACTTTAATCGTCCTTACAAGCGGATGATATGGGCTTTCTGACGCGAGCTTCTGTTCGAGCTCCTGCCCTCAATCGTCTCGACATAATTTGAAATACAGACATCCCCACGAGACTTGGCGTACAGCACCTGTTTCTTCAGTTTCAGAAGTCGCAGGTGCAATGGTCTGGGCAAGCGCTGCCAATGCCTCCAGAAAGGAGGGCTAAACAACACTTTCTTGCCCAGTTGATCGACAGAGAGCTTAGAAAACGGCCAATATGAATCTGATGCAAATACATGGTAGGGATCTGCTTCAGGTTCCAGTTGTCTTCTGCTGAAGCCCAGACTTTGGTATAGGATCTGGAGTGTTAGATTCGCTTTCTGACGCGACTGAATTCGCGTCCCGAATGGAGAATCGGTTACTGATGATGAAAAGTATTTTTTAAATAGTTTAACATAGAATCAGACATAACGCGAACGTTATTAAATTCAGAGGGAGATCTACATCCCTTTGAACCCAAAAGTTATACTTAATGTGCATGATACATAAATTCTTTAAAAGTTATTTCCTATCTTAATTGGTGAAGAGTTAGTGGCATGGATTTCGAGAAATTTTTAGAGTATCCGAAGATTCGGTGCTTCTGACTTCACACGTGCAGCAGCTGCAAGCAACAGAATAATTTTCAAAGTTGGTAAACCAACCGCTTTATCGTAGAGAACACCCGTGAGATTTTGGCCGAAATTCGGTAATGGTCAGTCATATATTTACCACATATCTTTGCACTGTGAACAAATGGACGCTTTGTACTGTTTTTCGGCATGTTAAAGTAATGAAAATGATAGTGCGGGAATTCTTCATGGGCAACGGTTTACAGGTACATGAATGGATCAAAGCGAGAAGCTAAATAATTCGGCATTGCATTTACTATGGCGCAACAGCTTTAGTGGTGCTGAAAAAAGTCGCATATTGCAAAAACGAGACTAACATGAGCCGAAGCACTAGAGATTGTCAGTAAAACGTTACAATGGCTGTCAATTTCGCGTACTTCTATGCACCTAACACCAAAATTACTTATAAATAAGCCGTACTTTACCCGATTGGCAGTGTGTGAAGAACTTGCATAATTGGAACACCAAATCTTTGAAGCTATTCAGTTTTATCTGTCATCCTTATTTAGGCTCATCGCCAGGAGCAGTGGCCTTTGAACCGGTGACTGCTACATCAGGAACAGCAAGCAGTGACTTATCGGGTTAAAGTGTTACTTAGCAAGCTTTGTGGCAGGTTAAAGGCCAGTGCGATGGACATAAACTTTAATTGAATGTGTTAATTCGATTCAACAGTGAATCCGCTCAACT